ATGTAACGCGTGCGTGACAAAATTAACATATGTTTCTATACAGATTCTAATATGAGAATTTTTTTTTGATAATGCTGTTATGTGTGGATCTTGAGATGGCAAACTCAAATAAAACAAAGTTTGTCTTCTATCTCCATCGAAAATTTTTGTATCCGTCACGCACATGTTACATTCTTCCTCAATAAGTTGATTTATACCCGGATTTACAGGCAAAAATTTCGTCCATAACTGCATAATGATTTACTAAAGGTCTTGGGCCACACAAAGCTATAATACCCTAACAACATAGTTGAATTAGCATACATAGTTTTTCCAATACAATATAAAAAGGGTTCTAAAAGAAAAATGTTTGATTTGGTTTTGTAACAGAGTAAAAGAAAAATCTATTACAATATTTGGCGTTGTCGAACATTTTACATAATACCGACCAAAAACGACTACGACAACGCAATCGTCTACGCCTACGAGAGCTGCCGTACAACGACTACGCCTACCGTAATAAGGGCGATTATGTTTTGAATTTAATTTTTTTAGTACATGTGTGTGTAACGGTGCGTTACGAGTGTAACAAATGCGTGACAGAGTTGATAGTTAAAAAAGTATATGTTAGAAATGTTTTTCTCAACAAATTAATGTCAATATAATCTTGAATAACCCATTATAGCTGTAAAAAAATCCGCAATTTTATCTCCAGCCAATTCGCAGAAATTTCATACCGAAACTGATATCCAATTTTTAAACGGAAAATTTTGCAGCGCGTAAGCATGCTAAATTTTTCTTCATATCTCCCAAATTTGCAAACATATCCATAAAAAAATAGCAGGTATTGTAAAAGGCGTAAAACTATTTAATAAAAATTGCAAAAGAAATTTCGGAAACAAATTTGTCTTAACGATTATATTTCGCACGCTGTAACAGTGTGTCACATGGAATTTGTGATATATATATATATATCGTTAGTTAAAATGCAAAAAGGCGTATCTAACAAAAGCATAATTGTGTAGAAGCAAAAAATGTTTTGAATGAAAATGAAAAATAAACATGTCAAATAAATGAATGATTTTTCTAAGTTCACTTTTAATACACTGACAGATGTATACCTAAATAAAACAAAATTGTTTTTCAATTATTGTATTATTATTATAAACCCACTTGTAGTTACGTCTTTTTGTTTTTTGTTAATAAATTCTTCTTCGTGAAAATCCATCTACTAGAACTGCGGCAGGGGGCCTTCCAAAACACGGAATTTGGCAACAAATATTTTTGAAAATATCGCGGATTTAATTGCATTTTCTGTGGATCATTTCCGTTTCAATAAATGACCTTATACGGATTTTGAACTTTTGCGAAAATTGAACTTTAAAAACTTCAGCCGAAAATGAGATGTACTCAATTTATCTCAAAAATAGAGTGGCCCAGGTTATCCATGGTTCTTAATAGACCGCATTGAAATAGGTATAGATCGATGTACTTTTAGGGTGCACGCAGAAATCGGATGCGCGTTAATGGCATATGGATTTTTCGGAAATTATTCACGTTTTACGAGTTTTTGGGTACTTCAATTCAACGTGTAGTTCATCTTAGCCGTCTAATGAAAGTTCGCAAAACATGCATGGATTGGAAGATAACCTTCAGTATTTCATGGAAACCGCATGCGCATTTAATGATTTTGAGAATTACGCGATTTAGACACATTATAAGATTTAAGATTTATTCCTACTTGTAGAACCCAAAGATTTATCGGTATTGTCTTGCTACAATTCGCAAGTGGTATACTTATATACTCGAAGTGATTATTTTTATATTTTATATATTTATTTTTATTTTTAAATTAATTTTTGGTTGATACATGTCATTAATATAATAAAAATATTGACGTAATCTCCTATATTTTTTATTATTTTTCTTATATTTCGCGAAGATGTGCAACTTTTTCGCAATTATTATAATATATTCATATTCTTATTTTGGGAATGATATAATATATATATATATATGGTCAGTATAATAAACGTTTTTGGTCAGTATAATAAACGGCGCAATTTTAAAATTTTTTTCTTATGCCCAAAATTAAAACTTCGATAACTTTTGCGCGCATCAACCAGAAATTTGATCGCGAACGGTGTCGGAGTCAGAACATTTTTCTCTATATGTGTACCAAAAATCATTGATGTACCACCAAAACAAAAAAGCCGATTTTTTGAAAATGGAATATTAAAAAATTGGCAATATTGCCAATACAGTATTTTTCGGTTAATTGACCCTACGGTTAATTGGTTTCCACGCTTAATTGAACCACATGATGGGCCAAAAAATATTTCATAGGAAAATACATATAAATTTTCTCGGATAATTAAACCCAGTTAATTGATTTTCCCGCTTAAATGGTTCAAAATTCATGTCATCAAAAATAAATTTCCTTTTACTTTTCACCGGTTAATTGCACAACAATAATTGAAACATAATCTGCCATTTTTTTACATACATATTTGACATAATTTGTGAAAAAGAAAATAATTTGCTAAGAAAAAACTGCGAAAAAGCGTAATTTGTAGTTGACATTGGACTTTTTTAAATCATAAATAGTTCCAATTATACGTGATTACTGTAATTGAACAAACTATTCAATTATGCGGGTTCGGATAATTGGTTCCTCGGTTAATTGAACAAAAATTTGTGCAAATTTTTATGTGCAATTAACCGAAAAATACTGTATATATATATATATATATATATATATATAAATGTAATGAAATTGAAAATTAATATATAAGAATAAACAATTTATATAAAAACTTCGTAATTATAAGAAAGCACTGTACTTCAAATGATTAAATAAATTGTAAAATTTTTTTCCTACAAATAGTATTAGCACGTAGCATTATCTTGTTATGGTTTTAAAAAAATGCATTATAGTTTTAAGTGTTCGTTATAATTATTTTTGTTAAAACATTTGGAAAAGAAAAAATATTAAGTCTCAATAAAATCAATCAATCACTTAAAATAATTTAATCCTTAAAAATATTTTGAATATTGCTACTGAAAACTAAATAAAAAAATATTTCTGACTATAAATACATGCAAATTTATAAAAAAAACCAGTGAGCGGAGCAGTATAGTCGGACGGGGCCGACCATACGATACCCTACACAACTACCACGAACTCTAACATTCTGAGGATGTTTATTCCGAGTCTGAGTAATATTTCGTGATATTTGCCCCCTCATGCCCGATTAGAGGTCAACAACATCTCTTCCTTACTTTTTCGAATATTCAGTACAGTCCTTCTAATTACTTGTCCAGATTACCTTCACTGTGGTTTTTGTTGTGATTTTCGGATTATACTCGACTCGAAAACACACAAAAAATTAAGTTTTCGGTCCATTTCATCCCAAAATTTCAATCTGATCATCACCGAATTGTAGGCGTTGTTCTTGACCATAACTGGAACTTCATGAAAAATTTTAAAGCCATCAGCGCGATATTCCCCCTTTAAATTTGGTATTGAGTTACTAAATAATATCTGAATACGTAAGCACCTGTAAATATTTGACTGTAACTCCCACATCTGAGTAGATACATCACTATATTTGGTATCAATTTAAAGGCCAACCACTCCTCTTGGATATGCATTCAACTCCTCGGGTCTACATCTTCCAGGAGTAAATATATATGCCATAGAATACAAATTTTGTCATTTTTCACACAAAAGTCAGGGTCCATTTGACCCACTAAATATTGACCGATCTTTATCAAAACATGCATGCTTATTCTCTGGCCCGGTCCGCTTCTCCATGCAAAAATTCGCGGTGTTTGGGCCATAATTGCGGCCTCTGGAGCGACCAGAAAAACCGACAAAAATAATGTTTTTGGTCCATTTCATCCCCTAAATATTAACCGATCTTTTCCAAAAACAATAGGGGTCTTCATTGGTCAGAACCCGTGAAGATTGGTCCATAACTGTGGCCTGTATCGTGTTGACAAATTATAATGGACAGACGGACGGACGGACACACATGTCTAGATCGACTCACAGCTAGTCGAGATATGACGATCGGTATACTTAAAGGTGGGTCTAGGACCAATATTTCGCGGCGTTACAAACTTTTGGGGCTGCACAAAGCTATAATACCCTGACAACATAGTTGTGTAGGGTATAATTACACTGTTACTAAAAAATATATATCATGTATTTATGAATTGAGTGAAGTTTACTGAACATCTCAAACTTGAAAGTAGAAAATCTATAGTGTATGTACGGTGTGCTGTGTGTCAATGGTTTTTCAATTGGTTCAGTTGAATGTGTGTGAGAGAATAGTGATATTTACTCTCGCGAGAGTGCAAGCGTGCGGTGGTTCGCGCGATACTGTTACATATGGTCTGTTCGGTGAGCTAAGCCGCAGCCAGGCCATCCTTAACATAAGTTATATATGGTCTGTTTCCGTACTCCAAGAATCTACGATAACGAATTTTTCGGTATTCAAGTTTCTCTGTTTTAATAATTTATGAAACTGAAAGATGCCGAGCATGTTCATATTTTTATGAAAAGTGTTGTTTCAACATTTACAATATCATTTCTCAACTATTGAATTTTTCCAACTCTTGGAAGAAGCTGATTTTTTGGCATTTAATTGAAAAATACTAGAAAATAAAACATATTGCTGCTATGGGTAGAAAATAAAACATATTGCTGTTCCGATATATGGATGCATTACGCCATCTATTTTAGCATTTCTTTATAAGTCGTGCATATCTAATTTTACTCAATTTTGTTTAATTATTTATATGGTGCGGCCAAAATTTATCATATGTCAATTTAAAATATCTAATAACTGTACTTACCTATTTGAGTCCCAAAATAAGACAAACATAAGTAAAATGATCTAATTTTATTTATATAAATAAATATATTATGTCAATGATTTATTGGTGAAGTGTGTGGCAGTGTGTGAGTTTTGTATAACATAAATGAATCGTAGACTTGACAAAGCTCAGATAAGCGATATTCTTCCAAACATACTATTCCTTGTAAATTTGGTGATTGTTTCCTAGCACATGTCATACAGTGGACTACATGCCTTTTCTCCTGTTCCCTTATGAAGAGGATGTTGAAAACTTCAATCTGCAGAATAGAAAATGTATTTATTAATATATGTTAATGTTTTGATCATCCTTTGAAATATATTTTTATTCTAAATATGCTATAAAACGTTGTGATAAATAAGTCAAATGGGCCGATATCTGTTTGAGTTATCTTGGTTCATAAAATCTGAAATGGATATCAGTGTGGCCATTTTTGCTACTAAATTTAGCATTTTATTTTTGGATTTAGCTGCTAAATTTTCATATAGCATTTGCATTTTTGTACTTATTTTAAAGAAAAAATCTTATAATGTATAGTATTAAATGTAAATCACTTCAGTAGAATTAAAACAATCCTAGCATTACATCTCATTAGAGCAATTGAGTTTTTTCATTGAATTTTATAGCCGAAAACATTTAGTAATATTAGGTAAAAATTGTTACCAAATGTTGTCTGTTTTCCCAAAAATCCAGTAAAAGAGAGTCAAGTAAGAGAGCTAATTTGACAGTTCAACAACAACAAACATACTGGAGTTTACTGAAAGAATTTTATGCAGTAAAATTTTGCAAACTCAGCCTATTTTGGATCAGCTGTTTTATGACCAAACACAAAAATTATTCAAAACATTTTTTTAATTTGCAAAGTTCAATTTGAAATTAAGTTTTATAAAAATTACAGCAAATGGAAGAAAATTCGTAAGTAATGCAAAGTTTCATTAAATTAGAAACAATTTCTTTATATGTTTAAATGTTTCCGAGGAACATACGAAATCAATTTTTCTTTTACTGTTCATTTTATTTTTAATATTAAAATATTAATTGTGTTCGTCCTTGGTTTGTTTATTTTGGCGAAAATAAATATGTTTTCTTTAATCAGCTGTTTATTTGCTGAATCTTGGAAAAGTGGACCGCAGACGGTCATGCATGCTTGACATGCATTTTGTGGTGTTAGTGAAAATTTGTATGTATGTGCCACACCTACGATGCATGAAGCAAAATCAAAATTTATTGATTTTGACGTGCGGTGGAGGCATCATGTATATTTTCATTTGTGACTTTCTTTTAAAGCGAATAGTTGTATAGAAATTTCGCACAAGGACAAAATCGACAAAATTGTATCGACCGTTATCGACATTGTCTGTACAGCACGAAATCAAAAACAAAATGAATGCATGAACCATGTGCATTGAAGCTTCATGCACACGTATACGATTTTGATGTCATGCGTGCATGATTGTCTGCGGTCCACTTAAATGTTGTCTGTTTACTTTTTCCAGTATTATCGCAAAATAGAGTAAAAACGGCTTAATCTCTGAACTAGAACTTACTGAGTAAATGTTACTGGAAAAGTAACCAGACATACCTTCAACGAAGTTATTTTTAATAGATTTAGGAAATCCACGCACATAAGAATACAAAATTTGAGCAACTTTTAATGGGATTAGTTTCTAACACTTCAAAGCCAGGAAATGGGGACCTATATAGATAATTATTGGATCGCATTAACACATGTCTTGGTCAGAGGTAAACATCTAAATTATTTATCTATACCAGCTGGATTATCCTCATAAAATAGGCTAACCCAGTAATTTTTTTCGTACACTGTAAAAAATTTGATTGACTATTTTTTACAGAATTGAGTTTTTATTGTTCTTTTTACGATACAAAAAAAAAATGATTTGATATTTTATTCAAATTACAACAATATTTCTGACTTTTTGTAAATATTTTCTTTTTTCTCATTGGTTTTCTTCGAAACCTTAGAATTTCGTGAGGTATTACGACCTTTTTTAAGTTTGATTTCAATATAAAATTGGTTTAACTCAATTTTGATATTTTCTATTGTTTTAAGTTGATAATTTCATATATTATTTTCCCACTATGTCGCTTACTACACTACGTTTCTTCATTCGATTCTCATGTTCTAATCAAATTCGATGCTAACCTTTCTTCTCTCTGAGATGATGTTTTTGATATTTACGAAATCGAAGTTCAGGCTGTTGAAGTTAGAGAAATCTGGTCTAAGGCGAAAGAAATGTTAGATAAATATCTTACCCATTAGCATACTCGTGACGATGGTGATTATGCAGATGGCTTCAAATCAGAAGAAGGTTTTAGCCCAACAAAAAAGAAGTCATTAATAGAAAACATCTATCGCTACTAATGTGCCAAACATGACAAGTTCTCCTTACAACTTGATTTGTCAGTTCAATTCTAATTTTATTCTCCCTTAAAGCTACCTAAACTAATCTAACATAGCCTAATATAGAAGATAACAATTGTCACCGTGCATATGGTGCAGTTTGTCTCTATTTGTTTACATTACATTAGAAATGAGCGCACCAACATCTTGGTGTGTGCGCTGCTATTAATTCTTCATTATCAGCTCACACACACATAAATCACATTGTAGCGATCTCTACCCTGTATGACTTTCATCAACTAGTTTAGAAAATGTTTAGTTATAAAGAAATTATTATTCAACTGATTATAAATTAGCTAGAAAGTGATCTAAGACTCAACCACATTGAAACCAAAAATATGTTAATGTCATCAAAATCATAACACACGCAAAAGAAGAAACCGGTATCTAATGACCGTTAGAATTGTATTCCACACAACAACAAAGAATGCAAAGATGAAGAAAAAAAGCTACAAATAGCATTTTAGGAAACATGCCAATAACGCAAAATATACATTTGAGGAATTGTCAACTCTTCTATCGAGAATTGTTTAGTGCTTAAATTCGCGACAAACGATAGTCCACATTCGCCAGTGGCACTTTTATTAAAAAACCAATTGGTATTGGATGTTAGATATTCCACTGATTGAAAATGAGACAAACTCAGGGTTAAAACATATTCAAAGAGTAATTAATGTGTACATTTTTGCTATGGCGATCTACGAAGTTTCTACGAACGCATATTAGTATTTATTTGTATGGAAAGGTTGCCAAAAATGACAGTCATGTTAGGAACAAATGGAAAGACTTACATTGCGTTATTTTAGAGGGAATTCAGACCTCTACAAAGATTGGAAATAAGGTCCGTTTCTTCAAATCGGCTTCTTCCAATCCAGTTCGTATAACGGTGTGAGTTGTTGCTAGAATTTCCGAAACTCTTCCATCATTTTCGTTTAATTCAGATTTTTCTTCTCGGATACTAATTCTTTGTTTGGCATATACGCAGTTATTCGACGGCAGGCCTGTAGATAAGTGCAGGTCTCTACACAAAAATAATACTACCAGGCATGCATATCAATATCTCAGATCCATTAGTTGCACAGAATACGATTTCGAGTATTCTTTGCATATGTCAGTGTGCACTCCACCACAATTTCGGACACAGCTACGTTGGCTTCGTCGACTATATAATTAAAGGAAAATTGACAATGACAAAACTCAAAGTATAAAAAATCAAGTTTTTGATATCCATAGGCAAATAATGACTTGATTATTATCCTCGATCGCTACAACTGCCTCAAATTTCTGAGTGAAGGCACGATGCTTCTGTTGTTTTATGCGTTTAGCTGGATCAAGAAATGAAAATATGTGCCACTAAATTATGTTTTAGAATTTGTTTTCTATTTAGTTACAAATTATTTCATTTCTCACAGATTACATCAGTATTCCATCTAATGTTCCACCGGGTAGCCATTTCATCTTCTATCTGTTATTCGTTTTTCTAATATTTGAATGTTCGTAGATGATGTAAAACTTTTGGTAGTCAAATACACTTAACTCTGCGTTAATCGTGCAACAAGTCTCCCGAGCCCAGTCGATGACGGATGCTGATTGACAGCTCGGGTATTACTTCTGCAGGAACCAACGGGCATCGGTTGTTGTTGGTTTGCTTTATATCTTGACACTTTCTCTCACTAGAATATGTGTATGTAGTTGTATTAAATAAAGATCCTTTGGGATTCCAACGATCATATGCGATCACTAAGATCATCTGCGATCCGCGTGAAACTCTGTTTTTAATTGCATTCCAACCGGCAAGAGGAGCTAACGGTATGTTACGTCGCTAAACCTTAAGAAATTAACACTTTCCAGGACCTGTCCCATTCCTATTAATTACTTTATAGTTTCTTAAAAACCTGATTCTGCAACTCGTTAACAGATCTTGGTATCATTTTAGACAATAAACTAGGATTATTGACTTCTCTCAAAAATTAACAAATTGGCGGACCTTGGAAAAAATATTTTTGGAAAATCGACCAAGTTAAAAAATAAGGTAGATCTTCACCGATTGGATTTATCCTAGTTCATACGATAGCTATACACTCACAAAATTTGGTTAGTTATCGCGCTTGCCATTCGCCAAAACGCTGTTTGGAGAAAAACGCGTTTAAAATTTGAGAAACCCTCTTGCCGTCACTTGATGCTAGCACAATAAATCACCTATATCTTCAAAAATTCTAGAGATTTTCAATTGAAATAATGTAGGGACTTTCTTGAATAAGTGTAGGGTCGAATTAAATCAAAATACAAAATTTTTTGAAACCGAGCTAAGTCGTTGCTAGGTTTTATAAACCTGTTTTATAAAAATTATTCTAATAAAATAGAATCGGTTCAAGACCAGTTCCTTTTGCAAGCTCTTCGAAGATTGCTTTGAATCCACTTGGAACACTTCCAACGTCTAACCGTTAACCGTCTACAAATAATTGATCCTCTAACTCTTGAAAGAAGGCGATTAAGGCTTAGAGCAATATTTATTGTAAAATTGTTACGTGAAAAATTGACTCAAACATTGAACCGATTTAATATTCACTCCTTATCGTCAGATAGACATAATTCCCTACTAGCTAATCATCTTCGCTAATCACTATAGACAAATCTTGTTTTCTCCAACTGAAAGAAAATATTTGACGTGCTCACGTTTAAAAATATATTTGCACCAGAAAATATTTCGTAAAATTGCCAGAAAATATAAATTTATTTGTCAGACAATTGGGAGAAATTTTGGCCAGCTTTGATTTTTTTTTATTCCTGTTGTGTATTTTCTGAATTATTTTTATAACATTGTTGTTTTTAAACAG